CACTGTGTGGGGCACAACGAAGGTTGGAAAATGTGTAAGTTGAGATCCTTCCCTTTGGAAGTCTCATTCTAGAAGGGCAACAAGATACATGCGTTGATTACCAAAACAAGACAAAGTCGGTGGGGCAGATGTGTAGACATGAAAGGCTACGGGGGCTTAAGGAGCATGAATTGATGGCAGGCTGGGTGAAAGTGAGAAAGATTCACGTCGAAAACAGTAATTGACCTGGTCTTGAGGATGGGCAGAATGTTTTTGGGCATAGGGACACCATGAGGTTTTTAAACCCTGGAAGAATGTGGACTTTTTTTAAATTGTTTGCATGACCTGTGTGCACACTCTATTTCCAGGCACTGTGTGAACGACTACAAATACAGGATTTTATTTATTCTTCACAGAATATAATTGTTCTGAGATAGTGATTCGATTTTTTTAACACTTTTTTTTTTTTTTTAAGGTTTTTGTCATGGCATGTATGCACTTGCCAGAGAGAGAAATAGTGAGAAATCACATCCCAGCAAGGATGGCCATGCCACAATCCCTTCTCCTCCATTCTTCTCCTGGGATTTTTGGGCACACAAGCACACATGCCCAGAGTGATTTTCAAGCCACTGGGTCCAGCACTCAAACTATGATCAGCCACATGGAAATCCAGGATCATAACAATCATGTCAACTGCTAGCCCTGAGGTTATGATTTTTAATTTATAAATAAGGTACTTTGTACCTATGTGTACCAGAGTTACACATTTGGTACAAGTGGTGGACATGGGATTCAAACACTGGACCATCTGACTTCCTGAGTGTTTATGTTCAACCACAACTATGGGCTGAATATTTATATTCCTCCCAAAGTTCAATCTTGAAATCCTAACCTCCAATGTGATGGTATTAGGTAGTGGGGTCTTGAGGAAGTGATTAAGTCATGAGGATGGAGCCGTCATGAATGGGATTAGTGCTCCTGTAAAAGAGACCCCAGAGAGATCCCTCACCCCTTCCACCATGTGAGGACACAGCAGGAAGACAACATCTATGCACTAGGAAGCAGGTCCTCACCAGACACTGAATATGCTGGGGCCTTAATCTTTAACTTCCCAGCCTCCGGAACAGTGAGTAATACACTTCAGTTATTTATAAGCCGCCCAGTCTGCTGTATTCTATTACAACAGCTCAACAGTGAAGACAGTGCTATGTTACTTTCCTCCAAGGCCTTATTTTCCTGCATTTGTTTCGCAATCTTTGGAAAGATGTTTCCTTTGTAATAGGTGGTCACCAAATTTCCAAATCTAGCTTAAGTTTGCAATCACAAATAGGGCTACTGTTTCCTGAGTGTGGTAACCTTGCTTTGTATATCTCTGTATAACATCACCTGTGCTCCAAGCATGAGATGTGTTTTATATTTACTCCTTTTAACTGGTGCTGGTCCAGTCCAAGCTTCCCATGAGAAACTGTAGAGTAAGCATTTGATCATCTTGTAACCCATAACTAACCAGTGGTGATTCCACCATGTGACTCTGAGCAAGAGTAGACAGTGTTCCCTGAGCCCCACCCCTGTGTCCTGGGAACCCTAGAAAGGACACTCACCTCTTCACAGCCCTTTAAACATATGATTATATGGGGCAAGCCCTGACGCACAGTGGTTAACTACTGTGCATAGGGAGGTGGATTCTACAATGGCTACCATGGTTTGAATCCCAACCTGGGCAGCTTGTACAGCTTTCTAAGCATGCCCCAAATCCTGATGGGATGGAGAAATGGAGAACAGATTACGGTCTGGCCTCCGCATCAGACGGTGCTCATGTGCGTCCTCTCTCTCTCTCTCTGGTGAGCATGCATGCCCTCCAGCAATTAAAAAAGAATGAAAATTTTATTTTCTGGATTCTCTAATGATTATCATTTTGGGTCGTGGCATACAAGGAGCATCAGAGGCAGAATTCTCCCTAAGTACACAGGTTTCATTTATTACATGGTGACCCCCTCACTTAGAATAGCCTTTCTCAAAGTTGGCCTTGAATTCCTGCAACACCAAGTCTTACTCCCAGACTGTGGTAGCATTCCAAGCGTTTGCTCTCCAGCTGGTTCAGAACAGAATAAAAAGGAATCCAGTATCGATAACCAATATTTCCCAGATAATGAAAGGCTGAATTCCAACCTTTAAAAAACTACTCAGGTGGCGAGTGTGTCCAGAAGTCTATGGAAATGCGTATTATGAAAAATCATGCAAGGATTTCAAAGTCTTTTTACACCAAAATAAACTTGTACTTTAATTTCACTTTTCTACTAACACTTTGAAGTCCACTTATATTTTAGCCAAAAAGAAGTCCTAAGTTAGCCTCAGTTCCATGATTCCTACCATGTAACTGAAGAGTTTCATCTTAACTACTTCAGTTCCCTTCACGGGGTTGCTAGGCAGGTGGGGTGCAATTAGAATGGGTACCTGAGTAGACTTTCCAGAAAGGAGAACCGAGGACGCTGGGAACCATCTTGAATTCTGGTGAAAACAAAGAATCTTTGGTATTCCATCATTCTTAAGCTAGACATCTTTCTCTTTCCTTCACATACAACTTTATGAATATGACTAGGAGATCAAAACTCATTGTACTGTGCTTACTCCCCTAGCAGGATGACAATACCTTCCAGAACCACAGTTTTAAGGAAAACACACAGTAGGCACTCTTCATATTTATTATGAGATAATATATGCAGAATGCTTTATGCGCTCCAAGAATACTGCATGAATACTATTTTATTGTAGGTTTTGTATAAGAATATGAGGTTGGGAGGAAAAGTTTGTTTCATAGCAGTACTGTTCCCATTTTATTGATGAAGACATTAAAAAAAAAAAAAAAGGAACAGAAGGTAAGTGAGAAGGCAGTTAGGCAGCCTACCCAGCTCTGGGGATAGTTGGCATGTTGTTCTTCCCAAGGGTTAGTAACTTGCTACACTATGAATTTTTCCTTTGCTTGGATTGTTCCCCATTCACATAAGCATCATTTAAGATGGAATTTCAGTGATATCTACACTTAGAAGTCTCTTTATTGGATACAAAATGATAAGTAATAGGAGATTCCACATCACTTTCTCAATGTTTGTATTCCTCATGTCACTCTCCTGCAATAAATTGTAGACTCTAGGAGGACAGCAACTGCGGCTCTCCATTGTCTACACAGTGCCAGGCACTCAGTAAATGCTTTCTAATGAATAAATGACCATCCATAATTCCCTGCTCTAAGTTTCTGCAGAAATTTTGGCTTTTAACATTCATGGAACATTTAGAAGACTTAACCATGAGAAAAAAACACACACCCTTTAACTCACTGAGACCATAAGTGTTTTTCCTAAAATGGTTTCATAGCTAACTCCTCACTATAGTTTAGATATTGAATGTAAGAATAATATCGTGACACTATGTTATTATTTGTTATCATGAGACTGTTATTAGTTATTATCAGGACACTATGTTGTTATTTTTTTGTTGTTTATAAGTCAAAGGGCACGTGTGCTCAAAGACATTGACAGAGAAAGAGAGAGAAAGAGGGAGAAAGCGTGGCTCAGTGGGGTATGGTCATGCCACAATCCCTTTTGCTCCATTTCTCCGTCCTGTTGGGATTTGGGCACATGCACACACATGGGCCCAGTGTATTTTCCAAGCTACCAGGACTGGGATTCAAACTGCATGATATGCATTATAGGATCCATTTCCCTTAATAACTAGACCACAATACTGACCCTGACACTACCTTATTTTAAGAGCCTTATTTGGGAACCATATAATCCAATTCAGATGGAGGTTTTTTTCTCAAATTATTTTACACATACACACATACACACACACACACAGAAAATAGTAAGAGATCTTGAGAAAGCTCTACCAATGATCACAAGATGCTTAAAGGTAAAGTTTTCAAAATTGTGAATATAGAAAGTGTTTCACACAATAGTCAGAACGCCAATTTTCTTCAGTGTGACTTTTCCATGTGTGCACTGGACAATCCTCTCAACTACTTATTTCCCTGGGATGCACGCAGAATATTTATAAAGGGATTCAGATTTGTAGGACTAACATTGAGATTAATGCAAGAAATATCAGTTTCCCCAGGCGTATGTCAAAGTAGACAAGAGACCATAACTTTCTAGGATGCTTTATGATACCAGCTGGTAGATCACAGACCTACCTAAACAAAAATCTGATGGAAGAAAGCAAACGTGGTTACAATTATTCATACTCCTACTGTGGGAGTTTCATAAACAAAATAATAAATATTTTCATCTTGCAATAAGATCACGTTAAGTGATTTGCTGACATTCTCTGGAGGCTTACGCCTTGTCTTTAATGTGAAATACAAATCATATTTCTTGTGGACACATTTTAATAATAAACTTAAAAGCACACAAGACAAAAATAATGAAAACACTGCAATGAAAACCAGACAAAGTATCTACCACTTCAAAAGGAGTGAAGGAAGACTGCTCGTCAACACCCTAATACAAACAACCTCAACACAAAATTCCACATATTGAAAAGAGGTTTCATGGCAAGAGAATCTTTTTTTTTAATCCAAAAAAGCGATTTCTTAAACCAGGTAACTAAACACGTGGAAACATACTCAGCTAACACATGCACACGGATATACAGACACACACACAGACATGCACACATGCCTTCTTGCACAACTTATATAGCAGATTTGACTTTGGTTCAACTCAGGTTACTTCCTACCTCTGCAAAATCCCACTTGCAAAAACAAAACCAAACAAACAAAATAAACCCCCCAAAACAACAACAACTAAAAACAGATTTGGTCCCTTTTTACCCTTGTAAACAATTAAGAATTTGACGCCAAATTTCTTGGATCCTTAAAATCGTAACCCTGCCCTCAAGGATAAGAAATGAGAACACACATGCCCTTAGGAACACAGCCTTCTTTGTCTCTCATTTTGCCACTCTAGTCCCAAGTCCAAGCAAGATACCAACACAGCCCAGGGGCTTGTGGGGTGACTCACCTCTAGGTCCTGTGATGACAGGTCGGTGATGCTGTGTGAATGCCGTTCCCAGGGAGGAGGTCTGCGAAGGGGAGGGGCTGCTGAAACCAGACTTCTCCGACTTCTTCAGTGTGGTTGGAGATGGCATTCCCGGGAAAGATTTTTTTTTTTAGATTGATTGATAAGTATACTTTAATTCAGGGAACAGCAGTTGGTACAACCTCGGGACCAGCAGTTGGCATAATGGCTATGTCGCTGGACTCCCGTGTAGTCGACTGCAGTTCAAGCCCCGGACCTGGTGGCTTAAACTCACACCGGGTGCATGTGCATGCATGCCCAAGAACCCAGGAGGAGAATGGAGGAGACGAGATCGTGGCATGGCCATCCTCCCTGGGGGATGATTTCTCACTATCTGTCTCTCTGTCTCTCTGGCGAGTGCATGAGCCCTAGAGCAAAAACTTCTCAAGAAAAAAAGAGGCCAGCAAGGTGGCATGGTGGTAAAGGCAGCTAGATCCCACATGGCTCACTACATGGTCTGAGTTCCAGACCCAGCAGCTTGCAAAACATGCCAGGTGTGTGTACGTGCATGCTCAAAATCCCAAGAGGCGAAGAGAGGAGAAGGGATTGTGGCATGGTCACCTCCTCAGCAGGTGCCCTTTCTCTCTCTCTTTCCTTCTCTCTCTCTCTCCAGTGAGAACACGTGGACTACAGAAAAATTTTTTAAGAAACTCCACACCAGTGAATGGAAAATTCGTTAAGTCAATTTATAATTGATTTCAATTTATTCTACTTAATCACAGCCCATTTTAGGGGATTATTGATCTTCTCTAATTATACAGGGTTCAGCTTTTCCAGGGTTTCCTGAAAGTTTTTGTGTGTCTGGGACGTCTGGGACCCCTAAAAAGGAGGCTGCCCAAGCACACGAAGACCTCTCAGGCCATCGTTTCATCTTGCCAGTTACCTTACTTCAGGACCAAACCTCTTTCTCCACATTTTAAATAATTCAGCAATTTTAACATAAAAATGTCCTCAACAATGGCAACATGGTTGTTCATTCAGTGAATGATTTATAATAGAAAAAGGAAAAAAAAGTTTCAAGGCCCAACAATTGGGGACTGGTTAACGAACTATGGTAGAACCAAAGCAAGCAATTCTGGAAAGAATAATAACATGGTAAGAGATTGATAATATAACGCTCATTGAAAGGGAGCAATTACAAAATAGGATATTATACCGCGATGCCATTTAAAGAGCTATTTCTACGCACTGAGGAAGAACTGAAAGGAAATAAGCATGAACGGTCCCAGTAGTTCTCTCTGTGTGTTGGACTGGGGTGATTTTCATCGTCTTCTTTTGGTTTCCTTGTCTTTTCTTATGTTATTTTATGTTAAAAAAATACCACAGAAGCTTATTTTTAAAAACAGTGTTTTTACTCTAGTGTCTTAAGATTTCCACAGCATTTCCCACATAGGAAATGCTTTGGGAAGAAAATAAGGGGAAAAGAGTCCCTTGTAATGACTGAATTTGGGATGTTCTCGGCAACCATGCTGGATACACGCAACTGGAAGCATCCATCAGTTTGGTAGGATGCCAGTGAAAACAATGCAAATTTGGATATAAAAATAAAGGAAATGTCTTCTAGTCTGCACATCCCGAGGACAAATTTGGGCTTTCTTGTGTCTGCAGCACAAAGTTTGCAGACTCTTCTAAGTCTGCACTGATGTCAAAGAACCAGATTTTATTTTCTAATAATATGTCTACCTGTGTTCTGCCTATAGCCAAAGTATTATTTGGGTGAGCTGGGGAAAATAATAAAAATAATAATGAAATTAGCGTGGTCATTATTGAGTAACTGCTTAGTACCATGTACTGTGCCATGCTCTTTATAGATATAGATCGGCCCAGAGATTTAGCTATTCAATAGTTTGCCCTCTTTATAAACATGCCCTTCTTATCTGATCTTAGACTTTCTTTCATTTTTTCTTTTCTTTTTTTTTTTTTTTTTTAGGTTTTTGCCATAGAGTACATGCATTTGCCAGAGAGAAGAAAGTGAGAAATCACCCTCTCCCCAAGGGAGATAGCCACACCACAATCCCCTTGCCTACATTCCCCTCTCAGGATTTAGGACACACATGGACATGTACCATTTTCAAGCTGCCAGGTCTGGGACTCAGATCACAGTGGGCCATATGGAATCCAGTGCCTTAACCACCACACCACTTGCTGGCCCCGATCTTAGATGTTCTAAATGAGATTCTATAACATAGCCTTTGAGTATGACTATAGATTCTGTAAGGGCAAAAACCACATCTTCTTTGCTCCTCTCTATCTTCAAGATACCAGATCAAGTGGTCCAATAACAATTTTTTCTTTCTTGCTTCAGAGAGAGAGAGAGACAGTGACAGAGACAAAAAGAAAGCACCAGCACTCTCGAAAGGCCTGGACGCTGTGATCCACATTCAGATTCAGCCAGTCCCAGATCATGGTATATGTCTACCTGGTGTACATAGGGAGGTCTCTGAATGTGAGCCAGGAACTTTCTCATGTCGTACTGCTTTGAAAAGCTTTGCATTTTATTGCTACATCATCATCTGGTCCCCCACAAGGTATTTAAACTACTTAGCCAGGTTTGGGCTTTCTCTGTGACTTTACTAATAAATGCCTGGACACGGCAAACCTTAGTGCTTTGATTCCATGAAAGAAACAAACTACAATCAGTAAGCACATTTGCATAGTCAGGCGTAAGTCTAAAATGGAGAGCTGTGTGGTTTCATACTCACTTGACAAACTGATGTAGATTCTTTCTACATTGATATCTATGGAATTTGAATTAAAAACTAAGTCACTCACTCAAGTGTCATTAGTTTTATTTGTCTGCTTGTTGACTCAGTAGCCAGACAAACCACACCAACGTTCTAACATGGGGTACATTGAGGTTTGGATGAAATTTTCTTGCAAATAACCTAACCTAAGGTTTCATGATGGAATTGTATCAGGGAGGAGATTTCAAATGAAAACATTAAAGTGAAGGAATAAAAAGCTACCGAAATGTAAACAAAATCTCCCAAGTCTTTCAAATTTCTTTGGCACAAAATCAATTTCTGGGCTGCCAACCAGCCCACAGACTTAAATTCAGCCAATTACCTGAATTATATGTCATGTAACTGAAACAGAATAGAAAATGAAAAATGCCAAAACATTGAAAATTGCAGATTTTTTCTCTCAGACAATGGAATTACAGATGAAATCCAGTATCTGAACTGACCTGATTAACAAAAGCAAATGGTTAGAATCAAGAAAAATGATTATTTCTGTTAAAAGTTCATGTTTTCCAACCCAGGACATTCTAAACACTGTAGAAATGTTGACATAACTTAAATCTACTGACTACCCTTTCAAAAGAGGAATTATAAGTAAAATTTAGGCAATAACAAGCAACGAGAATGATCAAGTTGGTAGATAAGTTCAAAAACAGCAAACATTAAATCCTCTTTGAAAGAGTTAAAGAGAAGAAATACTGTTGGCATGCAAGAACAACAAGCCAAACCATGTATCATCCTCTAAATTTATCACAGTCAAGTAATATGAACCCTAAGGCTGTCATGAATCTCAAAATTACTTTGTGTTTTCAATTTTTAAAGACTCATATCGAGCACATTTCCTTATTATACACTTTAATATTTTCTCTACATGCATAATGTATGTTTGGGTTAATTTGCTGCGTATTATTAATTGACCAGATGAAATTTCAAATACATGCATAATGTATGTTTGGGTTAATTTGCTACATATTATTAATTGACAAGATGAAATTTCAAAAGGCTAGTAAACTATTCTATGATAAAAGCTAGAGAACATTAAACTTGGCTTTTATTTCTGATTTCAAATTTGGTTTCTGTACATTAATTTAAAAATAAACTCCTTGTGAAAATTTATTTTGAGAATTACCTATGTACAACTGTTACACAATTACTATATGGATTCATGACTGATTAGCTTCCTCTTTATCAATCATTTTAATGCATTTCCTAGAATAATCAGTTTCTTTTTAAGATTACAGTTAAAGAAATGCTATCCTTTCTATAGAGCAAACAAAATGTTGCAAGTCCAATATTAAAACATAAGGCATTTTATTGACTGAAAAACAGAAGAAATCCAGCATAATATTTTATTTCCCTATGTCATTTTATTCTTTTGAATGGTATAAAATGCCCAGTGGTGGTAAACAGAATAGGAGATAGATTTCAGGAAGTATTTTGCTTCTGATTGATTTTCTAAACATTCAGACTTTCTAAATTTTTGTCTACTTTGCCATTTTTCTAAACCACCTGAATCATTCAAATTGTTTGCAGTAGACAAGGGCAAACATACGTGGGATTCTCGTCATTCCGTGGCTCTGATCCCTGGAGATACTTTGAAGTGTGAAGCCCACCAAGAAAATGGAAAATACTGGCCAAATACAGTGTTGATAAAGATTTCTTTAGATTCGCTATTAATGTCTGTGGTTGTCAGAATTCTAAAATAACTCTAGAGACTCAGTTTTTCTGTACATATCTTGTATAATTCCCTCCCTCATTCCCACACAACCTCGTGCATTTGGGCCATACTTGTGAGCAAATGGACGTCACTCTTGCAATAGGTTGTTATATTGAAAATGAGAAAGGGCTTTTACAGCTATATTTAAGGTCTCTTATTAGTTGACTTTGAACGGGAGGAATATGAACATTGGTGGGCCTGACCTAACTAGGCAAGTCCTGAGAAAAGGGCACTAGAGATCAGAGAGATTCTTTTTCAGGTTTTGAAAAAGTGAAAAGTCCAATATAAGTGATATAGCATGGAACTTCTGAGACCTCTAGGAGCTGAGTGGGGCCCCTCTTCAAACCTGGGAACTTAGTTCTAGTGCAACAAGGAACTAAATTCTTTTTTATTTTATTTTATTTTTTTTTATTTTTTGGAGAGGTTTTCGCTATAGGGCGTGTGCGCTTGCCAGACAGACAGAGAGAGACATAGAGACAGAAAGCGAGAAATCACCCCCCAGGGGGGATGGTCACACCACAATCCCTTCTCCTCCATTCTCCTCTCCGGATCTTGGGCATGCATGCACACGCACCCGGTGTGAGTTTTAAGCCACCGGGTCCGGGATGCGAACC